CGGCCCCGGGGGTGCGCGGCGCACGAGGCGCGGCGAGCCCAGCGCCAGCGGCCCTACGAGCGGCCGCGCCACCTGCGGGCAGAAGCTCATGGCCACCGCCTGCTGCAGCGTGGCAATGGCCGAGGTGACCTGTGGCGGTGGTGGTGGTGGGAAGAGGCCCACGCGCTGGCCCAGCTCGGCCTGCTGCACCATCTCGCGGTCGTACTTGACGATCTCCTGGATGATCGCGTTCTCCTGGTTGTTGAACACGCCCGAGCTCAGGTCATGCTGCACCTTGTGCAGCAGGATGGAGTTTTTCTTGCCTGTGAGTGGGAGGGGCGGGGTGAGCACGGCGCCTGCTGTGGCACCACGCATGCGTGAGCCCTTGGTGCACTGAGCGCGGGCTGTGTACAGCGATCACACACAGGGCGCCGGCTGCATACAGGCACAGTACATGCAGGTTGCATTTGCATTTTGCATTTGTGTGGTGGCTACAGTGCGGAACAAGCAGCTGTTGAGCACCGGGTGAATGCAACAAGCACACACAGAATGTCCAACACAGTAAGCTCACATGCAGCGCCTGCGTGTAGGGAAGTATATAAGCACCCAGGAGGTTCCGGCTGAAGACCGGCTGCGTGGAACGGGAGGCGTTGAGCACCAACTGTATACAACAGTTGTGTGTGGAGCAAGTATCAGTGCCTGCTTGCTCCAGGCAGAGCTTTGCTGTGTGTAGCAAGCACAAGGAACACCCGCTTTATACGGAAAGTAAGTACCCAGGCCTACTCCGTACAGCAGCGAACGCGGAACGCCTTCTGCATACAGCAAGCGCCTGGAGACCCTGCTGTGCGCATGCGCCCGCTGCGTGCAGTGATTGCGTGCTGAGCGCCTACTGTGTGCAGCACTGCCCACAGCCGGGCGCCTACTGCATACAGGAGGCTCAGCCCCGCACCCACCGCTCACATGCGTGCTGAGCATCTGTAGAGAGCAGACCGCTGAGTGCCTGCCCTCCGCAAGCGTGTGCTGAGCACTCGCTGTGTACTGGGAGGCCCTCGGAGCCCTCCCCACCCTGGTCCTTCTCCAGCCACGGGGATCTTTGCTTTGTGGGAGCTCTACCTTCCCTGCCCCTCGGGCCACACGCACCCACCAGGTGGACCGCTGTCTTCCTCCTAAGATGTTGGCGCCTCGGAATGGGAATCTGAACAGCTTCTCCCGCCACGTCCCGTCTGGAGCCCTCTGTGGCTCCCTAGCAATCCCACTCAATGTTTCAGCTTCCCCAGCAGCCCACCCCTAATTGTTTGTTGTTTTGAGACGGGTCTGTCTTTGCAGTCCAAGCTGGCCTTGAACTCACTCCTCCCTCAGTGTTCCCAGTACTGGGGTTACAGGGGTGCACCACCACACTTGGCCACCTGAGGGCGCGCCTGACCTGTATGACGCGACCTCCTGGCGCACCCCCTCGCCCTGCCCTCGCTGCAAGTGCTCAGCAAACATTTGCCAAACGAGCGTAAATGGCGCACAGCCTGGGGCAGCCCGGCTTCTCTTCCGTGCAAAAGGGAGGGGGTGCTAGGCCAGGCCGTGCACCCCAGCTCCCGCTCCCGCCTGGCCAGCTCACCGATGCGGTCCAGGCGGTCGATGGCCACCGTCTCAAAGGCGCGCCGCATCATGGGGTACTCCTCCAGCACCTCATTGAAGTTGTCTACACTGAGCGAGTAGAGGCGGCAGTAGGTGTCGGCGCGCACGCTGGCTGTGCGCCGGCCCCGAGTGAGCAGGCAGATCTCTGCGGACAGGCGGAAGTGGCTCAGATGTGGCCCAGTCCCGCCTGGCCCATCCCCACAGCCCGCAGTGGCCCCAGCACTCACCCCCAAAGTAGGAGCCGTCAGACAGCTTCATCTCCTTGTTGCCCTTGGTGAGCACGCTGACCACGCCGTGCTGGATGAAGTACATCTTCTTGCCGATGGTGCCCTCGCGGATGATGTAGTCGCCGGGCTGGAAGACCTCGAACTTGAGCTTGGTCAGCATGGCCGTGACGAAGTTGGGATCGGCGTTGGCGAAGAGCGGCATGGAGGCCACCAGCTTGCGGCAGTTGAAGTTGACGATCTCCTGCGGGGCAGGGCGGGAGGCGGCTCTGTGTCACCCTGCCTTGGTGGGGACTGGTGGGTGTCTCAGACCCTGGGCCGGCACTGTGGCCTAGCAGGCAGCATCTCGCTTTACAGGCAAAGGCCAGAGGTTCTGCCAGCAAGGATAGGCACGAGGACAGCAGCGTGGGGCCCCTACTCTAGCCCCATATGGGGGCACTGGCTGGAGCAACTGGACGAGAAACGCCGGCTAGGGAGAACTGAAAAGGAAGAAGGTAAGCGGTTGGCAAATAACACAACCTGGAAGGGCCAGAAGAATCAAGGAAGTGGCCAGGTGTGGTTGCACACGCCTGTCATCCCAGGACTTGGGAGGCTGAGGCAGGAGGGTCGCTGCAAGTTTAAGGCCAGCCTCAACTACATAACAAGACAATGTCTCAAAAAACTGGAAAAAAAAAACTAACCAAAATACAGGACCTTGCAGCAGAAGTCAGGGTGATAGTTGCCCCAGGCAAGGTAACCAGTAGGGGTGTGCATGCCCTGTCTTTCATGTGGGTGGGGTTACCAGGATATTTACCATAGGTCCGGCTGTGCCCTTGTAACATGAGCCTTTTCTATAAGACTTGTTTCAGCAAAAAGAAAATCTTACATTAACAGGAAAATAGCTGGGCATGGTGGCACACGCCTGTAGTTCCAGCATTGGGAGGCTGAGGCAGGAGGATCCTTGCAAGTTTGAGACCAGCCTGGGCTACAAAGTGAGCTCAAGGCCAGCCTGAACTGCACAGCGAGACGCTGTCTCAAAAAGACAAAAAAGAAAAGAAACAGCTTTGTCTACACAAACAAAAGCACTCTGGAGAAAGCTCACAGATGAGCAGAGGTGTGCACACAAACATAGAGAGCCCCAAGAGATGGCACAGCTTTAACCAGAGCAGCTAGAGCTGCAAGGTGAACGCTCAAAGTCCCAGCACTCTGGGAGACTGAGGCAGGGGGATCCCAAGTGGAGCCCAGCTTAGCTAACTTAATAACTTAGGGAGACCCTGTCTCAAAGGAAAAAATAAAAAGGGCTGGGGATGTAGCTCAGTGTAAAGCCCTGGGTTCCATCTGTGGTACTGAGGAGAAAAAAAAAAAAAGACAAGCTTTGTTTATTTTTAAAACTGAAGCTAGTCAAGGTCATTTAGAAGAACAAGTTAGCAAAACCCAGCAGGAATCAGATGAGACATGAGCACAGGGAGGCGGGACCTGTGACTTACTACTGGATTGGCGCCCTGGGGGGTCAGAAACAGGGCTGTCCTGTGACTCAGTGGTGAGCGCTGGCCTAGCAGGCATGAAGCTCTGGGTCCATCACCAGCGCCAAGAAAGAAAGTCCAAGATGGGTGAGATGGCGCACACCTGTCATCCCAGCACTCTGGGGGGCCGAGGCAGGAAGATCTCAAGTTCGACTGCAGCCTGGGCAACTTAGAGATTTAGCCAGACCCTGTCTCAAAAAATAAAAAGGGGCTGGGGGTGGAGCTCAGCACAAAGGCCCTGGGTTCAGTCCCCAGTACTGGAAACAAAAGAAGTCCAGAAACAGCCCCCACAGATTGGACTTTGGCAGAAGGTAAAAAGGTGCTCATGTGAGTCACCAACAGCAGGACTGACTTGAACCCTGTCTTACACCATCAACCAGGAAAACCCAGAGGCCAGCAATCTAAGGGTCAATATAGAAAGTACTAGAAGAAAACAGTGAGTTTCTCTGTGAGCTGGGTGGCTGAAACAGGCACATACTGTGTATTTGCTGAATACAGCAAACAGGAATAGGAACCTAGTATATACAGCAAGTTTGTGTTGTGCCTGGACTATACAAAAAGCAGGTATTAAGCATCTACTCTATGCAGCAAGCAAATAAATTATGCCTCTTGCATGCATCAGGCATTTATCCAGCATCTACTGTGTGGACCTCCTGTTGGACATAGTGTTAAAAAAATCTGAGCCTAAGGTGGCACAGGCCTTTCACCCCAGCAGTTTTGGGTGGTGCGGGGTGAGGCAGGAGGACCACAAGTTGGAGAGCAGACTGGGAACCTTAGCAAGACACTGTATCCAAATAAAATAAAAAGGGCTTTTGATGTAGCTCAGTTCAATCCCTAATACTAAGAAAAAAAAAAAACAACTATATAAGCAAAGTTCAAACACAGCCATCAAAATAGAATCTGTGTCACAAAGGGCCAATGTCCTCCATATATAAAGACTTTCTAAAACCAGAAAAAGAAGGCAGAACCGGGTGTGATGGCACATACCTGTCATCCTAGCACTCTGGGAGGCTGAAGCAGGAAGATCACAAGTGCAACCCCAGCCTTTGCAACTTAGCAATTTAGTGAGACTCTGATGGAAAATAAAATAATAAAAAGGGCTGAGGATATAGCTCAGTGCAAACGCCCTGGGTTCCATCACCAGTACAGAAAGAAAAAAAAAAGACCAAAAACTCTGTAGAGAAAAAGTTTACAGAAAGCAAAATGCAAATGGGCGGGAGCCTGATCACGTAAGCCACACAGCCTGGCCCACGGGAGCTACTCCAGGCCAGCAGCACTGTTCCTTAGGACCCAGGTGTCCCCGCTGGGGTGGGCAGGCAGAGTCAGAACGAAACCCAGGGCCTTCACGCTGAGCTCCATTCTCAGCCTTGATAATTTTATATTTTCAAACAGAGTCCTGCAAATTCACCAAGTTGTCCACCGTGGGCTGGACCTTGTGACCCTCCTGCTTCAGCCTCCCAGCAGGATCACACGCATGTGCCACCGCACCCAGCTAAAAGCGGTGGATTTAATGCATTTTGTGGTCTGTGAGTCTCGCTGTAAACATGAGGAGTGAATGGGATTAATAACAAAAATCTCACAGAGGGGAAACTTTCTGACCTCAGTAACCACAGCATGGCACAGCGCGCTCCCAGGAGGTCCCTGCCCTGGATGTGCCCTCTCCCTGGGACTTGCTGTCTCCTCCTGGTCCTCACCCGCCTTCCCCATCCTCCCTCAGAGGCCCTCGGTGGACGTGGTGACCCCTGCTGAGTGTGAGCAGGCGGCGCAGGGCGTCCTGGGGCTGTGCACCGCGGGGAGGGGCCCCATCCTTCCCGCCGCGCCCCTCACCTCCCGCAGCGGCCCGTTCAGCTCGCCCAAGATGCTGTCCTCATCGAACATCTTGCCCTGGTAGCGGTGCTCATAGTAGTCGTGGATCTTCTGGCGGAAGTCGGCAGGCAGCTTGTGGAAGGACATGTACTGCTCCACTTGCTTGTACTGCGGCGGGGAAGGAGGGAGGGGACAGGGTCAAGGCCACCCTCGAGGGGGTTGCCAGACCCACCACAACACCAAGACCAAGTAGGTCTTCTCGTGTTTCAGCCAGCACTGAGCTTAGATATTAACTGGTCAGTTTAATGATTTCTTACTATTCTGAACGAACAATATCAAATAATTTTCTAAATAGTAATTATTTTGCCAGGAGTGGTGACACATGCCTGTAATCGCAGCACTCAGAAGGCTGAGGCAGGAGGATCGCCAGCCTGGGCTACATAGTGAGTTTAAGGGCAGCCTGAATTACATAGAGAAACCCTGTCTCAAAAACAAACAAAGCACAGACTGGCTTCAAACTCACAGCAGTCCGACCTCACCCTCCCAAGTGCTGGGGTTAAAGTGTGTGCCACCACACCTGGCTAAAAAAATTCTTTGGGAGGGATCTTGGGGAAGGAACCCAGGATCTTTGCAGCTGAGCCACATCCCCTTTATTTATTTATTTATTTATTTATTGTCTTTTTGAGACAGGGTCTCACTATGTAGTTCAGGCTAGTCTTGAACTCACTTTGTAGCCCAGGCGCCTCAAAGTTGCAGCGATCCTTCTGCCTTAGCCTCCTGAGTGCTGAGATTACACCCATGCACCACCACACCTGGCTCTCTTTCTTTTTTGAGACAGGGTCTTTCTATATCAATAAATTGCCAAGGCTGGGCTGAGATTTACAGTCTTCCTGTCTCAGCCTTCCAGAGTACTGGAATTACAGGTGTGCCTATATACAGAAGACTCTAAATAATAATTCTCAAACAATATTAAATGAACTCCAGCTGCCAGATGAAATTCAGGCAAAGTTGAATATCGGCTAACACAGCACAAATGCATAGTATGACTATATCGCATGCCATTTTGGGGATATATTTGTACTAAGGAAATGCATTTATGTTTTTAGATCAAATTTAAATTTCACCTGTCATCCCAACACTTTGGAAGGCTGAGGCAGGAGGACCCAAAGTTTGAACCCAGCCTGGGTAACTTAATGACTTAATGAGACTCTGTCTCAAAATGAAAGATACAAAGGGCTGGGGACGGAGTCGTTGTGAGGCCCTGGGTTCGATCCCCAGAACTGTAAGCACAATAACAAAAATCACATCGAACTAAGCGTGCTAAATCCTGTGTGGCTCCCTCCCCAAACCTTCCAAACAGGGCGAGTCTGGGTGCCAGGCCCTGCTGTCCCCAGGACAGCAACCCCGGTGCCCCAGCCCCACTTCCGGCTAGCCCCGCCCGGCTGCAGCTGCCCTGAGCTCAGCAGAACCCGTGACGGCGGGCGGGTGGCGGCACCAGCTCATGTTTGGGTGCGAGGCCCGCAGCTTCCGGACAGCGGGGCGCCTGGCACAGGGCCCAGCTCGCCCGGCCTCCCCGGCTGGCACTGCTGGGGACGTGGTGGCCGTCAGCCAGGGCTGGCCCATGGGGTGGGACAGAGAGGGTGGCACTAGGCGGGGTCAGGGGGGCTCTTGGCCTTGAAGTGAAACTGAGCTACGTGGGGAAGAATGGCTCTGCACAGCACCTAGAGCCAGCCTTGCAGGCGTTCTCCTGGGGCACAGGCCAGGCAGGAGCCCCGACTGCTTTGCGGTTCCTGAGGCCTGGCCTGTCCTCCGCTGCTGTACCCCCGACTCCCAGCCTCAGCACCTGGGGCAGGGACCTACGCCTCTGAGACCCTTACCTCTGACACCCTCTAACCGCAGCCCAGGAGCCCCGCGCCTCACCCACCGCCCAGCCCATCAGGCCCCGCCGTTCCCCCTCCGCCTCTGCTGGGCGCCTGACCAACGCGGAGACGGCGGGGCTGCCTCCCGCCTCAGACTCCCTGGGACAGAGCTGCCCCCACCTTCTCCTGATACTGGCGCCTGGAGGAGTCCAGCGACTGGATGAGGGCGGTGGCGTGGCCGATGAACATGGCGTAGCAGGTGGCGCCCACGATCATGCTGAGCATGGTGAGCCAGATGTCCGTCATGCTCTCGGGCGCCTGCCGCCCGTAGCCGATGCACAGCATGTGGCTCATGGCCTTGAAGAGCGCGAAGGAGTAGAGCTCGCTCCACGAGTGGTTCTGCAAGCAGGGGGCGCGGTTGGGGTAACGCTGCCCCGGACAGCCCCCACCTCCCTCTCGCCTTAGGCAGGTGGGGAGCACCCCGTGGCCAGAGGTAACCTAGAGGAGCAGCCCCAAGCGGAAGACGCGTGCCCACTGTCCCTGTGAGACGGTGTTGGGCTGGGCCTGAGGCCACTTCCTACTTCACTCCTGGGGAAACCGAATCTGCCCAGAGCAGCTGCAAGACCAGGAGGCCGTGCAAGGTCCAGGGGTGCTAGGGACAGGCAAGTTGGGGGTGCTGGAGTCGGACTCGAGGGGTGGGGAAGGCAGAGGTCCTGCGCCTGGCTGGCCTTGGCTGACCCAACTGGGAGGGGGGCGGGGCACATCCAGGAAACCGAACTGCTTGTGCAGGCGGCTGCCAGACAATGGGCCCCTCAGCCCGGGCAGCTGTGCCAGGCGCCAGGGAGGGGCTGCTGACACCATCCACGCTGGCCTGCGCTGCGTCCCAGCCACACGCCAGGCCCCACATGTGCCTCTGGCTCCAGGGCAGGAGAAGGGCTCGCTGGAGTGTCACCCAGCTTCAGCACCTGCCGGTTCTCTTCGTCTTTTCAGACGGGGCCTCAGTATGCAGTTCAGGCTGGCCTTGAATTCACCGTGTAGCTCAGGTTGGCCTCTCAGTGATCTTCCTGCCTCAGCCTGCAGAGTGCTGGGGTGATAGGTGTGCAGTACCATACCTGGCTCCAAGTGCTTTCTTTTTTTTTTTTTGGTAGTGGGAATCAAACTCAGGACTTCGAGCCTGCACTACTGACCTAATATCCCCAGCCCTGGGTACTCTTTCTAACAGTCATAATCACACCAGCAAACAGCACTGTCCTGTTACTTCCTATGGCCCATGAGCCCGCTCACCCAATGGAGAGCTGCGATGGACATTTTTCTTTTAAATAACTTTGTACAAGCCAGGCGTGGTGAGGCACACCTGTCATCCCAGCACTTGGGAGGCTGAGGCAGGAGGATCACTGTGAGTTCAAGGCCAGCCTCAGCTACATAGTGAGTTCAAGTTCAGCCTGAATTGCATAGCGAGACCCTGTCTCAAGAAACAAAACAAAACAAAACAAAACGAAAAATGGGCTGGGAATGTAGTTCACTGTGAAGGCCCTGGGTTCCTTTTTGGTAGAGACAAAAAGGAGAGAACAAATTGGAAAACAATCCTGAGCAGATCTTGGGGTGACAAAGATCCCCACAGTGGCCCCAGGATGACTGGAGCTGAGCTGCTTGCGGATGCCGGGGTGATGTGGGGCTCAGCAGTCATCGGCAGCCGGAAGGGCTCTGAGGAGCGCCTGGGACCTCGCAGGCACAGGAGGCGCTGGGTGCCGGGGGGCTCACCACCATGTTGTTGATGGAGACCCAGCAGTTGCTGGGGAAGTCCTGCAGCATGGGCACCAGGAACTGCAGGCAGCCGTCCCAGTGGCAGAGCAGCAGCATCATGCTGATGAGGTTGCAGATGCGCATGACTGCGCTCGCCAGGTCATAGGTCATGTGGAAGATCTGGGGGGCGGGTGCAGACCCTTGTGAGGGCAGCAGACCCCCGGGCACCGCTGCACCCCATGGCTCTGCACCCTTCCAAGGCTCTGAGTGCCCACAGCCAGCTGCAGCGCCCCACTGCGGCCAACCCTGTCCTGGGGCCCCCAGGTCTCTCCGCAGGACCCCGGCCCTATTCCACTGTCTCCTCACCCAGCGTTTCCCCGGGGGCCGGAGCCGCAGGGGTTGAGGCAGGAAGTCTGGACTTGGGAGGTTGGAGCTGGCTGTGTGTCTCTGAGCCTGTTTCCCCCTGGCATCCACATGCGGATCCTTCCTCTTAGAGGAATGAAGAGAAGCCCCACGTGGCCTCGCCCCAGGCCCAGGTTCTGCCCCTAGGGCTCCCCGCTCTTCCTGGGTTCCGTCCAGGCCACTCCCCTGGATCCCGAGCCCCCAGCCCGCCCAGTCAGCCTCTGGAGAACTCAGCCCCAGCTCCCCCTACCTCAGAGTCCCCCCTCCACACGACCCTGGCCCATCTTCTCCCTGTGGTCCCGTGTAAGGAATATGTAGCCCTACTCGGTGCTGCCCATCGTAGCCCTGCCTTGCTGACCTGGTGTCCCCATGGCCCAGCAGCCCTCAACGGCCCCGCCCCACGGCCAGGGGCCCGCCCCACACCTGAGCCTCCACCCCCGTGCCCTCAGTCCCGCCCACACGAGGCTCCACCCCATGTCCCCCCTCCCCCACTGCCCGGCCTTGTCGGCACGCACATCCCCTCACGGCCCCGCCTTACATCTGAGGCCCCACCCCCATGCCACGCCAATCACTGACCACAGCACACCTAGCGGGCCCATCCTTGGCTCCACCCCATCCTAACTCCCCGCCCACAGCCGTGACTCCGCCCACACGCTGAGGCCCCGCCCTCACCTCCTCCCACTGGTGGATGTAGCGGATGAGCCGAGACAGGCGCAGCAGCCTCAGCAGGCTGAGGATCTTGGTGAAGCGCACGATGCGCAGGGCGCGCGCCGTCTTGTAGACCTCGGAGTCGATGCCTTTCTCCACAATGAGGAAGATATAGTCCACCGGAATGGAGGACACGAAGTCCACCACAAACCAGGTGCGCAAATATTTCTTCTTGATCTTCTCGGGGTCCAAGATGATCTCCGTGTTGTCCTCGATCACAATGCCCGTGCGGAAGTTGAGCACCAGGTCCATGAGGAAAAAGGTGTCTGAGACTACGTTGAACACGATCCAAGGCGCTGTGGTCTCGTCCTTGAAGAAGGTGATGCCCACGGGGATGATGATGAGGTTTCCCACCATGAACAGCAGCATGGTGAAGTCCCAGTAGAACCTGCGGGGGGCGGGGCTGCTCACACCTCCTCCCAGCAGGAAGCCCCCATCCCGAACAGCCCGGGTCCCTCTCTCTGGGCCACCGACAGGGGACCTCAGAGAGCCCAGACAGTTGCTCACAATGAACCCGACAGGGTCAGTGTGCTTGGCACAAGGCTAGAATTCAAAAAACAGGAGCAGTAAGCTGGGTATGGTGGGCACACCTGCCATCCCAACACTCTGGGAGGCTGAGGCAGGAGGCTTTCAAGTGCAAGCCTAGCCTGACCAACTTAAGGAGACCCTGATTCAAAATAAAAAATAAACAGGGATGCAGATGTAGCTCAGTGCAAAGGCTGTGGATTCAATTCCAGTACTAGAAAACAAACAAACAAACAAACAAAAAACAAACAGAAAACCCAAAAATATATTAGGGCTAGGGAAAAAAGTAGAGACAAGCAGACAGAGCGCTGGGGGCAGGCAGGGTATTGGGCAGAGGGAAAGGCAGAGGGAGGCGGTGGCTCAGCAGGGTCAGCACCAGAATGCACAGGCCGTGAGGGCGGGCGGAGATGAGCCACAACTTGGCCGTTTAATATAATAACAACACATGCAGAAGGATGACCAGTTGCTTTCTTTCCCAAATGCATGTCCCCAGGGTCAGTCCGCAGTTCCCCCAGGAAGGCTGGCAGGGGCAGACCTGGCCACCCATCTCTTGATGGGCTGGGCATGTGCTGTGAGTGAAGCTTCTCTCTGTGGGGACAAAGGCCACAGATGGATGCCTGGCCCTAGCTACTGAGAAAATGCAAATTCAAACCTCCCCAAGGGAGAACTCTTTGGTAGTTGCTTGGAAAGTTAAACACGTGATTAGCGCCTGACCCAGCATTTCCACTGTGTATTCACCGAAGGGCCCGACAGCAGAGATGCCCGTAGAATCCTGTGTACCCTGTCCGCAGCAGCACAGTTCACAGAACCTGAAAGTGGAAACGGTCTGAATGTCCAGCAAGGGATGGATGGGTGGACATGTACAGTGAGATCTGACTCCACATTGGAATATTACTTAGCCAGGAAAAGGAGTCAGCCTGTGACACTTGCCAGTGTGGATGGGCCTTAAGGATGCTGTGCTCTGTGAGAAAGGCCAGACATTGAAAGATGCACAGTATGGGGCTTTGTGGACAGGAAATGCCTAGGACAGGCAAATCCAGAGACAGAAAGTGGACTTGTGGATGCCAGGGGGGTGTAGCGGGGGAGGGTGACTGCTTCCTCTGGTGGGGCTTCCTTTTGGGGTTATGGGATGCTCTGGAGGTGGATGGTGGTGATGACTGAACCACAGTATAGCTGTATTCTTAATACCAGTGGACTATATACTTTGAAATGGCTAAATGGCTAATTTTACTTATATATATAAACAAAAAACCCTGTGAAACCTAGGGGGGTTCTCCTGCATGAGCAGGGCCCCAGACTGGAGGTCTGAACCTGTCCGCCCTGTGCAGACCCAGGCCAAGAAGAGGCTCCAATTTTAAGCAGGGAGGCTGGTCTCTGGGAGGCCGAGGAAGGAGGATGTCAAATTGTAGCCCAGGCTGGGCAATTTAGCAAAACTCTTTGTCCCAAGATAAAAAAGAAAAATGGAGCATAGTGGGAAGGCGCTGGGTTCCATCCCCAGTACTGCAAGAAAAATTTCAGCAGAGTCACTGGATTTTGGTCTTTTTTTTTTGAGACAGGGTCTCACTATACAGTTCAGGCTGTCCCTGAGCTCACTTTGTAGCACAGGCTGGTCTTGAACTCACAACGATCCTCCTGCCTCAGCCTCCCGAGTGCTGGGACTACAAGCATGTGCCATCACGCCCGGCTGGATTTTGCTCTTAAAGTTTGGGGATTCCTCCCCTGGAGCGTCAGCCCCCCACCGCTCTCTTGAGGTGTTGTCCCCATCCAAGCAGGTTGTGGGGGGCTGACCCAGTCACCTCTGTGGGGATGAGCCAGAGAGACGGAGGCCCCCAGACCAGCTTGGGTGACCCGAAAGCACAGGTGGCACTGGTTCGCCGCCTGTGAGCCGCATTTCGAGAGTGCCGAGCGCCCGTAAATTGGCTCCTTGCTCCAGCCGCTCCTGGAGGACACAACTATTAACACCCCGCCTGCGGGGCGGCCAGGCGTCCACTTCGGGGAATTGAGCTCAAGGAAATCGTCCAAAAGCAGAGAAAAAAAAAATTAAAAAGTGATTTGTACCAAGATGTTCACGGCAGCTGGGTCTTAGAGAGCCAAGGGCTGGATGCGACCCAAAGTCCCAGCGCCGGCACGGGCCAGAGCCAGGCTGGCGCTGCTCACTGCACGGGGACTTTGGAAGACACCGCGCCCCCCAGTCTCCTCGTCTGCCCTTGGCCTTCACATGGTGAGTGTCCCGTCAAAGAGCTCAGGGCTCAGGCTGTGACAGGGAGGTGGCCAGCCTGTGGGACAGCCCTGTGATCCTACCCAGGTGGGAAAAGAACCCCTAAACTTCAAGTTCAAAAATCAAACTACTCCCTTGAAACAAGCAAGAAAGAGTAACAGAGAGGCCAAGGGGCCTGGAAACCACCAGGGGTCTTGGAAACCACGGGAAGGGGTTAGAAACCAGCAAGGGGGCATAGAAGCCATAGGAGGGGTTCAGAAACCAACCATAGGGGAGCCTAGAAACCATGGGCGGGAGTACGAACCACCAACGGAGGGGCTAGAATCCAGCAAGGGGTCATAGAAACCATGGTAGTGCTCCAGAAATTACCGGGGGAACTAGAAACCATCAAGGGGGCCTAGAAACAGTCTGAACGCATAAGTGAGGGCACCTTTTACATGGGACACTTCACAGACACCCTTGACCTTTCTCTTTCGGGCAGGGCGAGCAGGTTCAACCCTTCCCCACTGAGACCTAAGCCTGCCCCGTCTCCCACCCAGTCTCCGGGACCCTCCCGCTCCTTCCTGTGGCCTAGGGTCACACGGTGTGGCCAAGTTGTGGGAGGTCAGAACAGAGGCCATGGAACAGGAGAGGCGCTGAGGAGGGAGGACAGCAGGTGTGGTGAGGCCTGCCTGCTCCAGTGGGGTGCCCCAGTCCTTGTCCTTGCCAGCTAGCCTGGTCCCTTGTGGAGGGGCCAAGGGGAGTCGCATGTGTCCCCTACCAAGAGGAAACAGGCCAGAGGCAGAGAGGACCGCAGAGTGACCCAGTGACCCAGCACATCACCTGGGGTGAGTGACAGGGAAGTGAGGCCAACCGGGGTGAGGGCTTCAGGCTGCACAGAGAACGGCCTGTGGGATGGACAGCGCTCGTGTCCTCAGCCCCTCTGCACCAGGGGACCCTGAAGCTGAGTGGGCTCCAGGGAGAGGGGGGCCTGGTGCGTCCCTGCTGGAGGACCTCAATGGTCACGGTCACAGAGCCGGCAAATCCCAGCAGATTAGAGGCCAGGGGTCAGGGATTACCGGTGCGGCTCGAGTGGGATTAGAAGGTCTGAGTCCGGATGTGGTTATATCCATGGCAGGTGTCAGGGATTAGGAAGAGGACACTCGTGTGAAGACCGCTGGGTTATTGGGTGCTCCCAAGGCAGGGGGACATTTCATCTTAGGCCTGAGTATGTGCTGGGTGCCAGGGAAGACACTCCCTGATCTGTTCCAGGGAGGAGAGGAGGGTCCGATGCGTCTAGGGGTATGTGGGGGGGGTTGTAGCCTGGGAGGACAAAAATGTGCATTTGGGGATGGCAGGGTGCAGTGAGGGGACAAGAGCAGCACCCAGGCAGTGGGAAAGACAGCTGTAGAAGTCCTGTCATCCTAGCACTAGGGAAGCTGAGGCAGGAGGATCACCTGAACCTGAACTGCATAGTGAAACCCTGTCTCAAAAGAATAATTGTACAAAGGCTGTGAGGTCCTTCAGGTTTTTCCTCTGAGGCTGGCCAGGAGCCAGGACCCTAGGGAGGTAGAGGAGATGGAGCCAGAGATCCAGCATGCAGGAGCAGCCCTTGCTACACGGGGTGGAGGGTAGGGGCAGAGTCCCAGGCAGCTGCGTTGTGGTGGGATATCAAGACTGAACCTCAGAGTCTGCCTGATCTTGTGGGTGGCTGCCAAAGGCCTCTGAGTGTCCTCTGGACCCATGGGAGGTTGAGGGGTTGGAGCGCAGACCTAGGCCAGGCCCTGAGGAGAGGCAGTGGTGTCAGCCCACAACCCCTGACATCTCCCCCCAGACCCTGGCAATTCTTTTTGTTTGTTTATTTTTTGTTTTTTGTCTTTTTGAGACAGGGTCTCGCTAAGCAGTTCAGGCTGGTCTTTTGGTTTTCTTTCTTTCTTTTTTTTTTTTTTTTTTTTTTTTTTTTTTTTTTTGTCTTTTTCAGACAGGGTCTCGTTTTGCAATTCAGTCTGGCCTGGAGCTCACTTTGTAGCCCAGGCTGGTCTCGAACTCACAAAGATCCCCCTGCCTCAGCCTCCCCAGTACTGGGATTATAGCAGTGCACCCCCATGCCCGCCCTGGCACTTCTTCCTCTCCAGAAGACAGAGCTGGACCCCATCCTCCCTCCTGCCCACCTGCTGCACCCCCAGCCTCTCCTGGCCTGCCACACCTCCCCTAGTGATGGAGTTTATCCCCCGGCTGGATGCTGGGATCCATCACCTGGGGATTAGCACAGCCCCAACTCCCGCTGATCCGATCCCTCGGCCATCTGGGAGTGGGGACCAGGCTTCCTGTCCTTATCAGGCTCCAGGACCCCAGGGACCATGACCCATTCAAAGCCAGCATCAGCAGATCCCAGCTGGGTGTAAGGCAAATGGGCAAGTCTGGACCACGGAGCTGAGCAGCGGCAGGACAGAGAGGCACACGTGGGACCACAGAGGCGCCCAGCCAAGGACAGAGGAAGGCACTCACTCGCCATGACTCTCACGGACAGTCACCCCTGCCCTCCAGGGCTTGGGAGGAAGCCGCTGTTGGGAACTATGTTATTTCCTTTCTTCTTTTGGAAACAGGGTTTCACTATGTAACCCAGGGTGTCCTCAAACTCCTGAGCCCCCTGCCTCACCCTCCCTGAGTTCCGGGATTACAGGTGTGCGGCACCACACCCACAGCCTCTGTTGTGTTTATTTTCAAAATGAACCTTCCAGGGTGGGGCAGAGCCCTGGCCAAAGACACCGTCTGCGGGGGCAAATCCCTTCCTTCTCTGCCACATGTTGCCGAAGTCTGCTGTTTCCCCGAGGTTGGAAGCTCCCTTGGGATTGCCCATGGCTCCGCGGGCTTGTGTCACACACACAGGCTGGGCTTCGGCACCAGGGGTCATGTCTACACTTCCTGGAGCAATCATCAGGATGCACTGGTGAGGACCCGCCTCTGCCCTGGGGGAGCTCAGCACACATGCTGTGTGATGGGGGTTGAGGGGCAGAAGGATGGAGTGAGACTCGCTGGGCTGTGGGTTCTGCTAGGGCAGAGCTGTCACTCCACAGGAAGACAGGAACAGCAGCTTGAGTCCACAAGGTGCTGCCAGGGCCTGGTTAGGTGGCGGGCACATCCCTGTCATCCTAGTACTTAGGAGGCTGAGGCAGGAGGACCACCGTGAGTTCAAGGCCAACCTGGACTACATAGTGAGTTCAAGGCCAGCACAAACTACATAAGGAGACCTTACCTCAATAAATAAATAAATACATAAATAGGCAAAGAAGATGCTACCAGAAACATAAATGTTAGATACCCAGCGCTTTCCCCATGTTGCTACCTCCACATTTGAGAAATCGAGGTAGAGAGGCATCAGGCAGTCACAGGAGAGAAGGACCAAATCTGGCTTAGAGCTAGACTCCCCTACTTCCTGCCCTCCCTCCCACTTGCTGTGGGGTTCCCCAGGACACCCTCCCTGCCTCATTTGCCTTCAGCCTGGGCTCCAGCCTGGACGGAGGGCACCGTTCCAGGAGGCCAATCATTATCAGTCCCTGCCCAGGGCGGTGGTATGGGCCAATTTACAGGGACAGAGCCACTGGGGAACCAGGTCAAAGCTAAGGAAGGGAGATGCTCTGGGCCCTGGGGGCCCTGTCTGCCACTCCATACACAGATTTGAGGAACTGACAGAATCTGGGTGTGGTGGCTCACACCTGTACTCTCAGCACTCTGGGAGGCTGAGGCAGGAAGATCACGAGTTCAAACCCAACCTGGGCCACTCAGTGATTTAATGAGATTTTCTTTCAAAAAGTACAAAAAAAAAAAAAAATTAAAAAGGGGCACAGGGCTGGGATGTAGCTCAGTGCAAATGCTCTGGGTTGAATACTTACTGTGCAAAGAATACAAATTATCCATGGCCTAGCCCCAGATGCCCCAGTACCTTCCACAATCTCTATCTGGAAGGCCCTGTTCCCTTCTATTTTTCACTAGCCTAGCTTAGACCTCCCTCTCCTCACATGATCACTAACCTTATTAAGCCCAGATTGCTAAGGTGACATTCCTGGGTCTGTCTCCATGCCAAATCCGAAAGGCCATGGGGCCCCAGATGTGGGGGTGGTGAGGCCCAGTGCATCCCTTTAGCATCTGATCAAGGTGGCTCACTCCCCCCCTGTACAGCCCATGTGGGAATCTCCCCACACACTCACACCCCCATCTTACAGTTTGCCCTCAGGGTCCCTTAGCCACCATGCCCAAGGGGGATCCCTGACTCCTGCCGGACTCTCTCTCTGCCCAGCTGTCCCCCAAGCTGCAGAGCCCAGAGCCTCCACCAGCTGGACCCCCAACCTGCCCTCCCCAACAAAGGCCTTGTGTTTAACACTTGTCAGCTGGTGTCCTGCTCCCCATGTCCCCACTGCCCCTCTCTGGCCAGCTGGCATTAAACCCCCACTTGCAGCAGGGCCAGCTGGATGGGGAGATGGAGTCCATCCTTCTCCCTGTCCCAGCCTGGACCACATGTAGTGGAAAGACAAGTTCTGGCTCTTGGGCTGGGAGGATCCAGGAGTAGCCCCCCTGAGCCCTTCCTGGGTCCCCTGATCCTTGGCCTCTCTGAAATCAGGCTGCTTCGGATCAAAGCCTCATTCGTGTCTCAAGAGGCTCTGAAAGCCGGGGAGTTGGAAAAGGACTTTCTTCCTGTCTGTGCACTTGACTCGTGTGCTTCTAAACCTTAGTTTAGCCATTTGGCAAGCAGTGAAAAGGGGGAGTCTCACAGCCCTCCTTGCCCAGCTCTATGGGTTCAGGAGCACGGGGAGACCCCGGTCCTGGGCAGCAGAGACCTAGAGGGGCACTCTGCGGGGCCCAGGCCCCGGAGCTGTCCGTGGTACTGAAATCACGCGCCGGCGCGATTGTTGGCGGGCACCCTGTCTACACCTTCGCACCTCAACTCTCGCCCCACCCAGGGACAGGCACTCGCACACACTTGCCTATGCCGGGCGCACGCACACAAGCACCCAACACACACCCTAGTGACCCACCAGGCACAACCCCAGCGACACGACTTGCTCAGATTCCCGGAGCCACACGCCCCCGGGACCTCAGCCTCCTGTCACGCGCTCTTGTGCACACCCGCACGGCCTGCAGTGACTCGAACTGTCCATACTCGCCGGCCACACAACGCACACTCGGGGAGGAGAGTGCAAAACACACCCGCGCCGGCCCTGCCGAAGCCCTTTCCGCGTGTTAGACAGTTTAATCGGTGTCAACATACACACGCCCCCTGACACTTGGGAATACCACGCATGCAGAAGCTCGCGGGAGAGGCGGCCTGGGGACCCCGCGGTGCTCAGCGCCACCCTCGCACGCTCCCTGGGCCTGCGGACCCCGGACGCGCCTGCCCAGGGCTCGCCTAACCCCTTCCCTGCCGGTCTCTCCGGGCGCGTCCTTCCGGGGCGCCCTTCCTTCCTTCCTTGCTTCCTTCCTTCCTGCCGCTCCGCCGCCTCCCGCGCCCACGTTCCCCTCTATTCGTCCTCTCCGTCCCTCTGCCAGACCCCGACGCGCGCCCACCGCAGCGCCAGGCCGGGAATGTCAGGGCGTGCTAGGGGTCACCCAGGGGATCCCGCGCGCACCTCAGGCTACCCCCCCTGAGGGCGGAGCCTTGCGCGCCCCGCTCCCTCTGCGCCGGGCCCCGCACGCGCCTGAGGTCACTGAGGGGCCCCGAGGTCGCAGGACCGTTCCGCCGCCCCGCCCTCCGGGGCGCTCCAAGGACGGCCCCGCGCGCCCCTCCCGGAGGCGGCACCTGAAGTCGCTGTACGGATGGATGATCCAGGCCCCCGCCGACTTCACGCGCTCCTGCTCGCGCTCCACAGCCTTCTGGCTGCCGAACATCCGCAGCGAGAACTTGTTGACGCCGGGCTGCAGGAGCGCGCCGAACTGGCGCTGCATGAAGCTGGCCTGGCTGCCGCGCGGCTCCCCGGCCGGGCCCGCCTCCTCCTCCGCCGGCCCCGAGA